GTGCCTATCAGAGAGCTCTGGATCACATGTGCACCTCTGGCACATCAGTTGAGAATCTCTGGAGGGTGTAGGAGAGAATGAAACCTGGAAGCCTCATGTGTCTGTTTCATTTGGACCTTCGAAGGTCTGGGCTGAGAGTTGCGCCTGTTTAGTAGATATGGCTAGTGATATTTAAAAGTAGTTTTACCCTGGCTACTATTGGCTGTTGCCAAGCTCTCTCCATTCTCCCTGTGCTATCTGCCCTTCAGGCCCATGGTCTCTATTACTGCAGCTATCTACACATTAGTCATATTGCGTGATGGGTTAGAAAGACAGCCAAAACTAAAATGAAATTGCATTGTCAGAAAACTAGTGGTGGAAGTGGACAGAGAGAGATGGCTTACAAGTGAAGCAAATCGAGGACTGGAAATGTGACTCAGTTGAACATTTGGTAAGCTGGAAGAGGCCCTGGGTTCTATTCTACACACACACACACACACACACACACACACACACACACACACACACTGAAGATGTAACATGTGTGACTTCATAGTGGAGAGGAAAAAGCTTAGTGACATAATATACAGGGAGAGGTGACATACTGTGTAACCAGAAGCCTGAGTCTCTACATTTGCAGCACTGATGACCTTACTTTAAATGATTCAAATGACCCGTGATGACTTTTCGCTTCACAGAAGGCCTGTAGCAGGGAGGTCCTCTGTCTAAGACCTCTATTCCATAGCTTAAGGGGGCTTCTGACATCCTAGTACTTACCTTAAGTTTTGTCATTTTTTTTTTAATTATCTAGATCCCAAGAGGTTCACCATCATTATTATGGATGTTTACTTCAAAGATATGGGCTACATGCTTATGACAGTTTAAAGGAACAAATTGATCAAAATTAAATTGTAGGTAGAGCATAAAAATAATTAAAGGAATATTAGTGTGGAAATATGTCTTTGATTAATTGTTTAATAAAAATTTCAGTTACCAAACTGTGGCTTGATCTCATTTTATTTCAATGATCAGATACCCATTATAAACACATACATATATGTATATACATGTAGATAACATGGAAGACAGAGGGAGAGGCGAGAGACAGAACCAGGAGTGAATAGGAGCTCCTTCCTTCATCCCCTCACGCCCAGTATCACTAGAGAACTCACTAGAAAATAGTCAGGTGAGTGGACATACCATATTAACCACAGTTACTGTGGAGAGATGGAAACATGCTGACCTCACTCATCTGCATTTTCCAATCACTTAGTAATATTACTAATAATTAGTAATCATGTCACATTTGCAGTCCATACAGTAAAATCAGTTTCATATCCAAACCTTAAGTTGAAAATCACTTCCTGTCCACCATTCATTTTCAGTGAAAGATAATATCAACATGACATAATTTATCTTTAGCTCAGAAATAAACACACAACCCACTTACTAACACCTGGTATACAGCTAATTATAACACTCAATAAACTAAACTGCAAATGGCTAACTTGAATAAATTAAGTATGAAACAAAAATGTATTACTAAGGAGCAGGCATTAAATGTATCTCCCCAATAATCCCAAAGACACCCTAAATTCAGCACCACGAATTTCACATACTCTGATTAACCTTATACAATTACCACTACGTGTAGCACAACATTCCAAAAGAGCGATATCACATGACATGTTTAAGTAAAAGGGCTTGGCAAAGCCTCCAGTTCCACACCCACAGAGCACTTCACTATTCTATCAGTCAGTGTAACTAGGAATGAGGAAAATCAATAACATATTTGCTTTGTGTAAAATGGACACATACAGGTTTTAAAATGCCTTTTAGTACAGTACAATTGAACTAAGAGTCAAGTAAATTAGGCAAGTTTGGTTCCTGTACTATCTTCATTTTGGAGAAAAATTTTGACTACATGCACTTTCCCCTGTTCTGTGAAACCTCCTGTCTCGGTTGTTTCTTAGGCCATGACTTAGGATTTAAGTGCCACTATTTTCTCATAGCAGTCTGAGAAGCCAAACAGCTGTTTCTCCTGGAAGGCTGGGGAGAATGGGAAATGAGAGACAGTAACAACCAGCTCAGGAGCAATAACCGCAGTTCAACAAAGTTGGGGTGAGCATTTTAGCAGATCACAACTGTGGGAAGATGGGCCAAGAGCCTGCTCTCAGCCTGAACGATAACACGAAGCATTTGAGATTGGCAAATATAAAAGTGTTGGGCATCAGATGATTCAACATAGAAATAGAGTCTAGTCCAGATTGAGTACAGCTCTATCACTCCAAGGAACATCCAACTGTGGCTATTAGGCTCCTACAAGGTAGTGCTTTGTCAGTGAAAACATCAGTAAACACAACAGCTATCATTACAATCTAAAACAACTAGTGAACCAGAACCTTCAAGTGTGACACACAGGCTACCAGAATACTATTACACCCCTTAAGGAAAAGTAAACTCTTCTAAAGTGCCGTTTCATTCCTTATGATGTGTGTGGTATCCTTTTGCTACTATTATGGAACTAACCTTCATATCAAGAGTTTTGTTTTTTATTATTATAAATTTATCTATATTGCTATTTGGTACTTTTTAAGGAAATAAAGCAAAGTCTTATTCCTTAAAAAGGCAAACATATTACGAGGATCTGACCAGGTTTGTTTCTTCCCTCTGTAATCCAGACTGCCATATTACAGAGTTGGATGTTCACCCACTCTTCAAAGCCCTGCTTTATTTTTACTGCAGTAAAAAGGGTAATCTTACTTAACTAGATAAATTCCACACAGTTGTGGAAAAAACTATTATTTGCTCTATAAATATACCCATCCTAATCACATTTGAGGAAATGACATTTGGGCCCATTGGGCCCATCTTCATTGGTTACTTCATCCTCTTTAGAAGCAATCTCAAGAAACCAGTATTCAGGTGTCTTCTCAGAGGGTCCTGTCCCAGGCAGTGCTTGACTGTGACCAGCACATCAAACATGGCCCAGAAAACTGAGTTCTTCTGTATGCTAAAAAAGGTATGCCAAATGAGACTACTCTTCTGCTCACCCCACACTGATCTGACTTCCATGGAGTGGGGAGATATAGTAAATAAATGACAATGATGAATATTTATGGAGTCCTTATGTCCCAAATACTTTAGCTAACTTAAATCGCCATTCAACATGATCTAGGAGCTAATAGGAGTAAAGAACACAACACTATAGACAATGGCTGGAAGTGGGAGTACACACCTGGTGTGAAATCACAGCATGCACACCTTGGGTTTCTGATCCCTAGAAGCAGCTATACCGTTGTCGGATCTTTCTTTGAGTTCCTTACAATGTGCAAACATTTTTTTGTAATCACTCCCAATTACTTCAGTACAAGAAGCCATTATCACTCTATGCTGGCAGGCTTGATTGTTTATGATTGTAGGAAACCACGCAAATGTGAGTCCTGAATCCCAGACAGACAGCACACTGCTGATAATCTTTCAGTAACCACTCCTGGCAGTATACACATCTGTAGATGTCTTGTGATTCCATCTGCTCTGTTATGCTTTGAAGCAGCTCATGATATCCTGTTTTGTGCCTGAGTGCTTCTATATGCTAAAAGATGTATGCCAAATGACTACTCTTCTGCTCACCCCACACTCATCTCACTTCCACCGAGTGGGGTGCTCAATACTGATCAGTGGGTCTTACACAAGCTGTTGGCTTTGTTGACACTCATCAGATGTTTGATGAACATCTTAAAACCCATCAATCCTCATCTCATTTTATAGATGGAAAGGGGCATGTCTCACCAACACTGCCTGACTTTACACCCTTGGGAGTGACAAACTGTTTGCAAAGTTGATGAACAAAGAAATCAGGGCCACAGTGCTGAAGTCACTTGGGTTTCAAGGGAGATGTTGGGTTCTGGTCCCTACCACTCACAGGTTGGTTGCATGGCAAGTTAGTTTGGACTTTCTAAGTCTCAGTCTTTTAATCTGCACAATAAAGCTAATAATACCTACCCTGAATAGTTGCTACAAAGTTGACAAAGATCCAGCAGAGATGATACAAGAGCTAAGAGAACAATAGCAACTACGTTTTCCATTGATTGTCTCTGCATTGCATCATTGCCTACAGCAGCTGTTTTAAGAGATGGTCAGTCTAGTTTAGGACCAGTTGATACAGGAAGAAGCAGAGGTCAAATAAATAAATAAATAATAAATAAATAAAGGATCTTGAATATTTTTACAAATTTACTTTCTTATTCAACTGCTTCGAAGTGCAAGTTGAACCACTCTTAATTAGTTAAGAAAGTGGAAGTTAGTTTCATTACCTTTATAACTTTAGTCTAGAAAAACTTTGATAGTCACCCTGAAGTTTTCACAACTACTCTATAAGAAACCACTACCATCAAACTGATGCTTTTTGGTGTCAATCAAATAATAAAGAGATTGAGATGGGCCTTAGGAAAAAACATTCCAGAAATGAGCCCATTATAGAAGTGGCTATGATTGTCAGGTAAGCCTCATATAGGCAACACACACCAAGATTAAACCCAAGGGCAAAATTCTTAACTAAAGTGACTGACTAGAGTTCTGTGGCCTCAACTGACCGAGTCTCTAACTTGCACAGCAAAGATACTTCTCTGAGATAAAGAACTGGAGTTAGAAGAGATAACATGTCCATACTCTCCAGGGACCTTCAATGCCCAAACTGCACTCCAGAAGCACACGCTTCCACAGACTGAATCATCTCTATGACTGTGGTATCTAGCTGGCATTCTTTCATTACTGGGATCAAACATGCTTTAAAAAGACTCAGAACTCAGTGACAGTGACCATGCATTGCCTCACTCCAGGAGCAGTCAGGACACGACAAAGCTTCATGCATCTGGATTGTCCCAGCAATCGGATGAGAACACTTCAGAAGATGTTTCCACTGATCAAACTACAAAGTATCTCTTTCATGCTCCAAAGAAGCTCCTGCAGGGAAGTGAAATAGAGTCTTCTAACCACAAATAATGAGACGACTTGCTTTAAATCCATGGGTAAAGTAGGTGAACTGAAAAAAAAAAATCAAGAACCAGAAACGTCAAAATACTTTTGAGGACACAGTTCTGCTTGGAGGGCTCCATGGTGGGTGTGTCTCGCTCTCAAGGAAGGAGTGGCGCTTCTTTTGTTTCCGTTCAAGTCTTTCTTGCCTTTCTTTCTTTTCCTAAAGGGGGGGAAAACCAGAAAACTCTAAGGTTATATATACTATGAGAACTTGTTATTATATCAGATTGTTAGAAGAAAATAATTCATTATAAGATCGATGTATACAATTAAATTGTTTAGTTAGTTATAAAGAACAAGTAGTTAGGAAATATTGCTGTTTGTATGACTATATATAGTTTTACGATTAATTTGTAATAATGTCACATTTTGGGTTTTTTTTTTGTTGGTGTTTTGTTTTTTGAGAGAGAGTTTCGTAAAGCATTGTCTAGCAGCAAAATCACTACATAGTCTAGGAGGACTTATTTCTAACCCTCCAGCGTCCTGCCTTCCCAATTGCTGGGATTAAAAGAGTGAACCATCAAGCCTGGCTTCACCCTACTTTTTAAAATGTTGATGGTATAATAAAAAATATGTCCAACTAGTCATAGAAGCTTACACATATAAACCTAATATTCAGGAGCCCCAGGTAGGATTACTATGAATTTGAGGCTAGCATGGTCTACCTAGCGAGTTTCAGACACCAAGTAGATGATGGTGGTGGTGGCGGTGATCATAGGGAATGGAGAAGAGGAGGATAGGAGGAGAAAGAAGGATGAGGGTAGTGACCAGAGGTAAAGTTCTTAGTTTAGGGATACATACATTATCCCAGTTTTTGGGAAGCTGAGAAAGGAGTATCATAAGTTGGAGGCCAACTCTGTTTACACAGCAAGACTGTGCTCCAGAAACCGAAACAGAAAATCTCTGAGTGTGCAGTTTTATAACAAACATTGTGATTAGGAAAAGTTAGTGGTGGCCTTTGGGTAACACATTTCCAGAAGGAGACCCACAAGAACCATGTCTGACTGTGCCATGGCAACACAGGACATCACAGATGCCCAAAGATCTAGTCTCATGTTTTGTTATTGAATGTGAACACATTGTAAAACAATTCGTTGCCTTTGCTGTGATTTCTTTTGTTCAACTATTTGATTTATCTAACTGCATAGATAACAGTGCTTTTCATTTTTAGTAGTTTGGGTATTTTCAAATGATATAAATACTGTCCTTGTGTGTTTTATTGATGTTATTTGGAGTGTTAGGTTTTACAGGATGTATTAAGAAACAAGCCAGCCTCAGAAAGCAGTGCAATATATTAAGAACACATGAGTAGCCACTGAGCAGGACCGGTTCTCAGGCTCTGTGTCAGCTCCCTCAGCTCCCACATCACATCTTCCCTCCCCAACCTTTCCACTATTTACCTATGTTCAGTTTCACTGATCAACCTTCTATTTTCTTAAGCAGCTGTGGGCACTGACCTGCCTGCCAGCATCCACACTGAGTCTTAGGTTATGATACCTTGATGATTTCAATTTGATAGCATGGCTTTATTCCTTGATGACTCTGAGCAATTAAAGGTTTAGTAAGCACGTCAAGACCTGAAAGACTGGATAGACACTGAGTTTCATTTTACTTTGGTTTTGGCAATTGCTTGGAATTTTCTGTTTACTCCACTAATCCTTTCAACATTTTTATTTCCTGCTTTGAAGCAAAGCTTTGAAGTCTAAATATCAAAGGCATTAGTCAATAGCAAGTCTCCTGCTACCACTAATGTGTGCTGCTCCTCACATATCACATCCTCTGAGGTTCCTATGGAGCTTTTATTCTTCTGGCATCGTGATACCTTGATTTTTGTTCCTTCATTCAAATGGCAAGTAGTCACCTTCTACTTGGGGTCAAACTCAGAATGCTTATCAATGCAAAAACACAGATACATACACTTTCAAATTGGACGGGTGTAAAACAAGTAAATTAATAACATAGAATCCAAAATTGTGTGAGTTTCTATGAAACAGAGGATAGAGGAGCAATGCACGTCTGAGTCCACAGAGACGTGGATTAAAGGAGCATCCATCTGAGCTGACACATGTTGGCAGGAGACAGGGTGTGGGGACTCACTGGGGAAGAGGTTTCAAGCAGAGAGGTGCCAAGAGTCATAGCTCAGAAAAATCTGGGAAAAAGTTGGTGATGTCAGAAGAAACAACACCAGCCAATGGGACCAAGTCATGAGGACAGGAGAGTCATACCAGATGGGAAGGGACATAAGTAACAGTACACCATGGTACTATCCTGAATTCAGGTGGTAAAGGATTGTAACTAGGGACAAATACTGGAGAGTATTAGGAGGACACAGAGGAGCACTGTGTGTGTGTGTGTGTGTGTGTGTGTGTGTGTGTGTGTGTGTATTTGTGTGCATTTGCGCACACATGCTACCATCACACAAGAGCAGTGAAGCAAGTGTTACAGCACTTGGTGGCAGATCCAAGAACTTTTCTACTTTGGTTTCGCTGGAGACAGGGACAAAGCAAGGGAGGAAGGGGCTTGGCAGAGTATGTGAAATCCCAGAAGTGTCCACCAGCTTTCTAGCACGTTAGAAAAGTAAAGACAAGCAGAATACTAGGAACCAGAGCTGGCAGGAGCTGCTGAGTAGAGTGTTCATTACTTCACTTTTATTTCTGATTAAGTTCCAGGACATGTGAGGCAGAAAGAATGCAGCTTCGCAGAGAGGAGAGATAGAGTATTTCTATTTTATTGGTTGAAAAGAGGATTAGAGGCTGTTGTAGAATATTTGATCACATTGTAAAACCTGAGATTGTGCTATTTGCTGAAAAAGAAACATTTCTAGTTGTGGTGTGTTGGCCCTCAGCACACACCTCTGCTGGAATACAGACACGGTCTTAGTACACACTTTTAATTCTAAACAATGAAGGTAAAGTTAGTTTGTAGAAGAAAGCATCCATGTTTGAAACTGATATCTAATTGAGTGTCATACAAATTAATAAATTGGAGAAAGATGTGACAGAGCAGGATATGCCTAACTCACAAGAGGAGAGGAAAAGAGAGGCTTCTTAAGAGAGCAGTGCAGAGAGAGGAGAGAAGAGAAGAAGCAGTTTTATTGAGACAGTTGTTTATAGACAGGCTGCAAAGAGAGAATAAGCTAGAAATGGGTGAAGATGGAACAAGCCAGAGGATGAGAAGGAGCCAGAAGACTAGAACAGATTGCCAGAGTTAGTTTGAGGCCAAGCAGAGCGATTCAGGGGAAGGCAAATACAATCAGTCAGCTTGGAGAGGAGTTTGAGACAGAACAGCTGAGTTCAATCAGCCAGCCAGAGCTCAGAAAGAACTAGACAGGGTGAGCTTATTCAGCAGTAAATCTCAGAGGCTAAAAACATTCAAGGCCTAGATAAGATGGTACACAGGTTAGAAGCTTCCAAGACTAGGCCTAGGTTAGCAGATGCGGCAGTAAGCAATTACAACAGGAGTCTAGAAGGCACGTTTAGTAGTGGCATTTCTTCTTATCACTAAAGTGTTATACTTCTTTTGAAGAAAAGTCTATCTAGGTGTTAATACAAAATCTACACATTCATCTAGATGCATTTTACTTGGTGTCTGAACAGCACTTGCTCTTCCATCCCGAAACTTAGATTGCCTCTCTGTTTCTGATTCTCTGCTAAGACCAAATATTCAGTTCTTTCTTTCTGGCTTTCTTCTATGACTCAGAAAAGCAGTGGATCCCATGAGGCCCTTAGACAACCTTGTCTCTGCAGGCTGACAGCTTGGGGAAGACACCAGAGTGGATGTTGGTTGTCTGCGTCTTTCATCAGTATATATGAAGGTTGAGAAGCATCACGAGAACAACATGGCAATGTAAGAGCTCCATCTGTAGACAATATTTCTAAGTCAAGAAAAGTGAGGCAAGGTCTTAACACACAGCCCTGCTCCTGAGGATGTCTGCATACTTGATTCTTCTACTGAAGCAAAAAGGATTCGTTCAGAACCTTCTGAAGAAAAGGCTGTCATTGCTTCACCTGATACAGCTATGCTTCTTTTTCTCCAACCTATCTTCCAAGAGAAAACCTGAAACAAGTTTGACCTTACAGGTAGGATGCTGAAAATCCAGGAGTAGTAGTAGGTAATTCTTACCCTCACTATCAAGTAATGGAAGTCAACAATGTTATAATAAGTAAAAGAATTTGGAGATGTTTTCTATCAGTTGTGGGAGTCTGGGCTCCTTCCTTCCCTTCACCATAGTTGTTCTGCCAGCAGAAAGTTTAAACAGCAAACTCGTGAGCTGGAGAGCGGGGTCAGTAGTGTGCTGCATGTTCACGTTGTGGGGTGCGTCCCTGGGTGAAGCTTTACTGCATGGTGTGATGTGCTAGTAGCTCTTAAGGCTTTGAGTCAACACACTGAATCTAATAGTGAATCAAAACTCTGGAGTGCTCAGGAAGGGACCGCTACTCCAGTTTCAAGGAAAGATGGAAATAAAATGGAAAATTCAAACTTTGAAATTTAATTACCCAAGGACATCAGCAGTAACATAGATCATTTGATAATGGAAGTAGTCTAACATTTAAAAAAAAAAGAATCAGGCATTATGTAAGAGTTTAACTTAAAAGATCATCACAAAATACCAACCTCTTCATTCAAATACCACACTTTTTCATGTTTTATTTTTAAAGATAGGGTCCTACTGTAAGCTAATACTGACCGTCTAATTTTGTTGTTTCCCTACATGGAATTGTCATGAAGCAGTACAAGAGTCCACACAAACTGGCAAATGATGTTTGCTTCTCCAGGTCAAGACTGCTGACCTGGAAAGAATGGACACCTTTCCATCACTAGTTTAAGGTCGTTTCTATCCGAGAGCTTTGGGCTGCATTTCCTGGAGACTTGGCCTAGGTTGGTCATGCATGACTATTCATTTTACTCCTAAATGCTTTATCATGTCCTCTGTGTTTAAGTTGGTCTTGTGCACCGTAGGGAGTGCTCATTCTAAAATGTGCATGAAAAATAGAGAAGCCCAGGGAGAAACTCTGTGAAAGAACTGCAGTGGGGGTGGGGATGATGTGATGGGGAGGTATCACTCAAATACACGACACATGAAGCCCAGCAATGGAATTGCCAGTACTAGAAAAGTTACATACATAATGAGACCGGCCAGTGGAGCACAAGCTCAAGAAACAGAGGCCCCAAGGCAGGGACAGATCCAAGACATGAGCTCTTGCTCCACCAGGAGAAGATGTGACAAATTCTTGGGAAAATTACATTGGAATCAAATTTCTTGTCATGCATGAAAATAACATGAAGGCAGGCAGGGCACATGAAAAGATATATCGGAGCCATAAAAGAATGAGAGAGACTTGATAATTTCAAACTATAGGAGGGTCTTTTCACCTAGGTTTGAGAATCAGAAGTCAAAAGAAAAGACTGAGAAATCCAAAATAAAACTGGGACTGACACAGCCAGCCTAAGACACTAGTAAGCAAACCTGACAAAGCAAGAGTAGAGTGGGTGGAAAAGCTGCATCTTTTAACAGAAATTATGAGAAAATTTCCCTACTACAGAGGCTTCTAGAATCAGTAAGAAAAAGGCAATCCAATAGAAAAAAACGAGTGGGTCTATAATGCGACAATTTACAGAATATACATTCCTAATACATATTTATAAATGAAAACATGTTCAAGTTCAGTCTGAGATATGCAAGTCAAAACAAAATAAAACAAACAAAACCCTAATCTGATGCTTTTAGACAGTTAAGTCAAATAGGACAGAAAAAAAAAAAAAAACCCCAAAACCCTGCTAGATGGATTGTGGAGAGATTTCATACGTGACCTATTCATAAGAATGCCATCTACTTGCTCAAAATATAATATTCATGGGTTTTATTTATTTAAAATTGAGAAAATTAGTATTTGTTTTAAAATAGAAAACTGGTTTTGCTTGACAGTACCGTACATCCAACCTCACAGTTGATTCCTTTCATTAAACAAAGCCTACATGAACCCCGCTTCGCTAGCTCACTAGCACCATCAAGAGTATAAGAAACAGACTATGTTCCTCACCATTAACTTCAGTACTATTGCATGCAATGGCTCACTGCATCTATAAGACTCTGTATCCTCCGTGCACTTGTCTGCTTTCTACGATATCAGAAGCATGAAGCACAGACATTAGAAGGGGTGTGATGGGAAGGGGCTGAGGCAGGGATGCAGGCCTAGAGCATCACAACTGGTGCAAGCTTAGATGCTTCAGTGAAGCTCAGAAACGAGGAGAGAAATGAGAGGCCATGGGGGAACCTGATCTGCAGGCGAGGAAAGGCTGAGGTCAACGGGATACACTTCAGGAGGAAGAAGACTGGAAATAAAAAGGAGAAAAGGAATAAAAAGTCAGTTAAAAGGTCAAGTTCATCTGCACGTAACACATACCAGCCACTTTTCATATTCACTGATGGCTTGCTTGTCTTTGTCTTTCTTCTCTGCTCTTTTCAGCTCTTCCTTTCTTCTCTCATTTATTTTCTCCTTTTCCTTTTGCTTGAGGAGAGCTTCCTTTTTCTCACTCCTGTGTAGGAGAACATGAAACACTGGGAGGTTAAAGCAGAGTATACCCCTGCGATGCCCTCCTGCAGCTTTGAAAGCAATGAGGTTGAGAGGCCTGAGGAGATCTGTAAGCAGTAATTCCTAGGGATGCCTCAAGCATTAACCTGAAACTACCGAACTGTGCACTGTGGGAGAATTACCATTTTTCAAAAGCAGTTACACTGTCTTTCTTTTTCTCAGCAACCGCTTCCTCTTCTTTCTGTTTTTTCGCTCGTTCATATTCTTTCTCCCTCCTGGTCTTCTCTTTGAGGTATTCTAGCTTTTTCTCTTTCCATTTTTCAAATGCCTAAAAAAGTTCAGAGGGACTCTCTTACTTGCCATGGCTTTTCTGAGGTCAGCCTGAGTACAAGAAATCCTGCATTCAAGCCCAGCACTGCAGGGCACCGAGAGCAGTCGGCCAGGGTCACTCACTTGCAGGGCCTCGCCTTTCCTCACGGCATTTTCTTCTTCTGTTTTCTTCTTGTTTTTTTCCTCCAGCCTCTTTTTTGCAGCTATTTTCTTTGCTTCCTTTTCTTTCATAGCCTTCCAGGCCTCAAATGATGCCAATGCTTCCTCTCTCTTAGCAGCTTTTTTCTATTTTGATTAAAAAACAAAACAAAACAAAACAGCATACAGTGATGTGTCTACACAGGAGTGCAAGCCTAGACATAAATATAGAAGTATGTATTTGTTGTTAGTGTCCCAACAGTTATCACACAAGGAAGCTACAAAGCAGTTAACTTATTCAGAATGATTTGGACAAGTTGATCTATGAAAATTGTTACTCCAATCATTCCCTGCTTTTTACAGTGTCAAAGCACTTATCACGTTGACCTACTTAGTATTCATGAGGAAGAAGCATCTAGTGATCTTGGGAGGATGCTAAATAAATGTTTTCAAATAAACTACAGCAGGCTAACTGGTCCTATAAAATGTTTAATAAAACAATATCATGAAAGTTAAAAGATTATAAACTAAGGTAAGTTGCCCAAGGCACACTGGGTGCGATGGTTTGTTTGATCCCTGTTTTGATATTGAGGCAAAATTTTCCTTTAACATGAACATAAACCAAACGTTAAATAAGGGAATCACACTGTAAAACATGGAGGGGCTATACTGAGCTGCTGTGTTACAAACATAATGAATTCACTCTCTAACCTCATTAAGGCCAATATTGGACCTCGAATACTGTTCAACCTTAGAAGACCTAGATCATATCATAGAGGTGACATAATTCAGAAGCAAGAGAACCTAAGGACACACAAAGCAGAGCTAATAGCACAAAGGCACTCAGAGGCACTGCCACTGGAAGCCACTGCATGAAGAACTGCCTGGCCCCAGGGCTGCTCATTTTAGGAACACTTCCCTGTCCACCTACTTTAGCATAGATCAATACTGTGAAGAGAAGAAGATCCGAGGGCTCTCAGGTAGGTGAGAGGAACAGAGCGAAATCACACCGAGGGCAGGACAAGAGTCTTGGGCATGAAGAGGATTTCGGGTCAGAGGGCATAGCAGGGGTTAGAAAACAGAACAGGAAAACTGAAAGCCAGTGTATAGCAATTAAGTTCTTGGCTAAACTCTAATTAAAGTCAATTTCTGTGACCGAATCTGTTGGTCACACAAATACTAAGTTCACAGCCAGTCCTGCTGTTTCTAGCCTATGCATATAAACCTTAGAATGCATGTGTTTTTATGTAAAAGTGAAATTAAGCCCAAGCAGAAAAAGATGAAATCAGAAAGCAGTTCCTTAATATATACATTTTATCACTTAGAAATAGTTCATTCACTAACATCAAATATCCGGAGACATTTTACCGATGTAAACTTCTATCTTTTGTGATTCTATTTTTGTGATACCTGTTCATTTTGGATCCTCAAGTTTTCACTTTCAATTCTTTTTATTCTGTGCATTTCATGTAAATATACATTTTTCTTTTCTAACCACTCCTATGAAATTAAAGAAAAAAAGGTTATAGGATGCTATAAGGTGTCCAAATGCCATAGAATTTTTATCTTCTTCTAAAATATTTGTTGAAGGTTTAAAAAGGAAACCACAAAATTAGTATGTTTTATCTAAAGTAGTATTCTCTTTTCAACAATATTGTAAAATATGAAGATGAATATTGCTGCTTAAGAAAATCATATGTGTATCATCTTTTAGTTGCAAGACTTAAATGATTTACTATAATGTTAAAATATATCAATATTTACACTGAAATTCAAGTGTAAATTATTCCATAAGAGATTATATTTCATGTAACAAAACAAAAAGGATTTTTCTTGAAATTGTGAAAAAAAAAGGAAAATTTTGATCTGGAAATCTAGCAGATTCTCAGGAAAAAAAAAAACTTAAAAAAATTTTTTTTGCTGATCATGACCAACATAAACTTTCATAAGAACAGAATAAAATACATGTAGATTTTACAACAGACTGGCTTTAGCTATATTTCTATAATACAACCGTATCTCCTCTTTCCGCAAAAACACTATTTTTGTATTTTCAACAAAATATGGCAGCAAACGAGAAAATCCCTTGGGAGTTCTCACATACTTGTAAGGAAAAAATCTCTCTCCCAATGACAGTGAGTGTCCAGCCATCATTGTGGACGGCCACCTTACCATTTGATGGGCAGGCACTGTGGAAATGATTGATTTTCATTTAGGAAATACTTCCCCTTTTACCTGATAAACAGCTGCCCTTATGTGATCAGCCTTGTCTGGCTCTAGGCTCTGCTTCCGTGTCGGCTTCTGGTCTAAGACTTTCAAACTCCCTAAATAGTGAGAGGAGGCAGCTGCAGACGGACTTCTTTTTGTGGGACCGGATCTCTTTAAAAACTCAGAGGTCATCAGCCTGGAACGTTCCAAACACACCAAGAGCATGTGTTAGAACTGCACCTGGCAGTTATCTAAAACTGTATTCTAAAGTCAGGTGTGGCACCTCACACCTATGTGCCCTACTCATGAGGCTGAGACAGGAGGATTAACAGGAGTTCAAGATCAGCCTGGTGTGCACAGTGGGTTCCAGGCTACCCTGGGCTAGGTGTAGGAACCGGTCTCAAATAAAATGAAACAAAATTATGACTGGATGTAATGATTTATAATTGCTTGGAAAATAATCCAGTCAAAGGAAGTCATGTTTGCTTAGTTCCACTCAACATAATTTAAACTTTAGAACTTTGAACTACAGTTTTCTTCTTGGGTACTTATAAAGCCTTTTAAAGAAACATGACCAGATCTCAAATCACATGAAAATTACCAACCAGGAAGGTTTTATTCAGCCTTTGAATATGTCATCGTATTATTCTGTTACTTGATATGCTCTAACTATAAATTTAGAAGCATAAGATCCTATATTTTGGGTATATATGGGAAGCTCCAGCCTGCCTTCTTTCTTGGTGAATAAGGTTTACTGCATGGTGAACTAGTTCTCATCTGCATATTCCTCATCTGCCCTGAACTCACAACAATCCTGTTCCAGCCTACAGAGTGCTGGGTTATGTGCCAACATGCTTAACTTTAAATTTTTATAATTTTAATAAACCCATTTTGCCCATGAAAACTGTCCAACTTTTCTCATACTTGAAAAAAAAAAACACTTAACAGGAAAAAAAGTGGTTATTTTCATCTTTACAGCCATTTATACATCCTGCTCATGAACACAGGAGCTGTACAGCCAGACTGTGGAAACATAAAAACACAGCTGGAGAGGAAAAACTGCACGAAGACTGCCTAAAATAAGGACTTTTCTATAAAAGAGTTAAACCAACACAGAGTTTCCTCATAAAGTCTCCATCCCAGCTGACAACGGAAATGACTAGAAAAAATCCATGGCAGCAAGTGGAATTTGTTACGTAGATTCTTGATTAAGGTGAGGTTTGTTAGAATTCGAGCCCATTCAGCGTTTTACCTGCCAGAGGCACTGGACACTCTGTTATTCGTTGTCTTTTTATTCTTCATGTTTCTCTCTTCATTTGTTTTCTGGATAGAAACACAGAAATGGATCACCATGAGGATGTCAGGCCAGTTGGGAAGCAAAATCTAGAGCAGTGGGTTTCAACCTTCCTCATGCTGTGGCCCTTCAACACAGTTCCTCAGGCTGCTGTGACCCCAACCATAAAATTCTTTTCATAGCTACTTCAAAACTGTAATCTTGTTGCTGTGTGAATCATAATGTAAATATTTAATACGCAGATAGTCTTAGGTGACCCCTATGAAAGGGTTGTCTGACCTCAAAGGGATTGAGACCAACAGGTTGAGAAGCACTGCACTACGTTGTCAAGGATTTTAGGCACTGACACAAGTCGGTATGCAGGATGGTCTCAAGGTTCCTATGCATCATAGGCACGGATGGCACCGTCACAGAAGTAATGTGACTCATGACACAGACAGCGCTGGGGACAGCGAGTGACCAGGGTGGGGATGAGGGGCTTCTCAGGTGAAGCTGGTCTGGGGTGGGCCCTGGAAGCATGACGGGGGCTGAGGGGAAAGTGGGGAAACAATGGGAAAAGCAAGTGTGTCTAGCTGCAGTTAGTGACGCACACAGAAATAGGATGCCGAGGCTTAGGAAGATGGGAAGAGAGGTGCATGCATTCAAGGATTTGTGAGCTCATCAGATGTACATGCTAAGGAGCATGGACGTCATCCTCATGCCCAGAAACAGCAAATAAACTGTACCAGGGGACTGTTGGGTTCAAAGTGGGAGGGATCACTCAGCAAAACAAGAATAAAACCAAACATCACCTCATAAGAATATGGCCTTGCTGTGGTATGTAAACTATGTATTTTAACTTAGATGTGCTCCTGATCTAACTTTCTATCTATATGTTATAACAGACTCTTGCTTGTTACATATAGTTCCCTGTTCCACACAGGTGGGGGTGGCCTAGCAGAACAGTGAGGGTGCCAACGTGAGCATAGCCCTAAACCCATGGTGCAAGGGTGCTTCTGCACTGCGGCTGCATGGGCTTCCCTGATACAGTCTGATCAAACTTTGGATTTCGCATTATGTTTGTATTTGTATTATGTCTGTATGATATAAGTGAGTTCTTAGCCACTCATAATGGCTAGGCATGGACATTACCCATCTGACGCTCTAATAGGTCAAGACTAAATTCAGAGGAAATAAAGACTAACAGTGCTGCACTGTACAATTTAAAGGTACAGTAGTCTATGATGTCCTATCATAGAGAATCACAGTTATTATACAAAACACAAATCTGTTCCTAACATTATAATAATGTTCCTGTCCTGACCATGGCCCTGCTCATCCACTGTGAAAGGGACAGACACTGAGAAACACTGGCCTGGCCTGGAACTCATTATGCAGCCAGAGTATTCTTCACACTGCTCATTAAAACTGTTTATGTTTTGAAGTGATAGTACAATTTCACCAGGGTAACAACTCTGTAGCTGTTCTAGACAGTTGCACTTTGTATGATATGATCTAAGGAAACTTATAAACTTACAGACACATATACTGTATGGTTCTGCAGTATTTTAAATTATATCACTGTGCCTGAGAGTTTCCAGTGAACACTTGGCTTCACTCTGCCAAGGGCAAACTTTCCTTGAACCTGAAAGTCAGTTGACTTGAGTAACATCTACTTGAAAATACAACTGCACTATCAAAGATGCTCTCCCTGGCTGACACAGAGGTGCAAAGACAGAAACAAGATACTGGATGGTTCTATTTCATGCGTGATGCTGCAGTGCCATGGCATACAATACTGCTTACCTTGGCTGGCTCTGATGGCTCAGTGGGTGTTATGACACTAGGGGATGTGGAGAGCAGTGGGTCAGTGGTGAGGTCATCTTCTGTAAATCCACCCTTCTCTCTTTCTTCCTCAAGGTCGTCAGCTGCCACCTGACCTTCCTTGGGCTTCTCAAGTTCAGGAGTAACACAGTTCAAAACTGAACTTCCTTCATTTTCATTTGATATCAAGGAATCCCAGACTTCAGTAGGTTCTTCATCGTGATCTGTTTGGAGGCAGAGTGACAGTGCTAAATCCTTCTCATTCCACAGCATGGATGACGGGTTCATTTACTCTCCTTCAAACAAGTACCGTACTTTCTAAAATGTTCTGCTCTTAAGTGAATGCATGCATGTGTGTGTGTGTGTGTGTGTGTGTGTGTGTAAAGTGCATGTACATGTGGCTATGAATGCGGACATTCTTCTCAGAGGTCATATGAGTCAAAGTCTCCAGCAGCTTTGAGATGCCTGACATGGGTGCTGGGAATGGACTTGGGTCCTCTGGAATAGCAGTAATACTACATGTTCTTAACAGCTGACTCCTTCTTTTGGACCGAGGAACTATACAGCTGAAGCTGTCCTTGAACCCCTGACCAATCTTCTTCTACCTCCCAAGTGCTGGTATTGTAGGGATGTGCTGTGATGCCTGGCTATAATCTCTTTTCTTACAAAATAAAACAAAGCTACCAAATTAAATTTGAACACACTTGATTTATGAATGCAAACATGCTTATTCAACTAACATTTCACAAGTCTCATACTTAGAAAATACAGAATATGTATAATTTGGATGGAATAATTACTCCCAAGTAAAGGAGAACATGTATGTGTAAATCAGGTAACTGAGACTGCACTACTCATTCATAAAGCCCATGTCTTTGAAGCTAAAAGAGCATGCCGGGAAGGCAGGAGGCAAACAGCCCATAGCACTGCTGGTGGTAGCAGTTCAGGTGAACTGCACAGGCAGAGAGAGAAGCACAGGGTGACTCCCATAGACTCATGTGTTTGAACGCTTTGCCCATAGCGAGAGGCACTATTAGGAGGTGTAGCCTTGTTAAAGGGTGTGTGTCACCGTGGAGGTGGGCATTGAGGGCTCCCATACTCAAGCATGCACAGCACAGTCTCTTTCTGCTGCCTGTGAATCAAAATGTAGAACTCTCAGCTCCTTCTCCAGCACCATGTCTGCCTGCACGCTTCTCCATCCTGATATGGACTAAACCTCTGAAACTGGAAGCTAGGCCATTAAGTGTTTTCCTTTATGAGTCGCCGTGGTCACAGTGTATCTAACATGCAAAAAAAAACCCCTAACTATGACACACAGATTCATGTAATTCATCTCAGAGATCTGGCCAGGGGCAGGCCATCTTCACCCCTTCAAGACGTGCCTCACATGAAGAAGGCACCAAGGGCTGGCCTGTGCATACTCAGGCCTCCTCATCAGTACTCCTCCTTGAGTACAGCCTCAAGCTCCACATCAGAAGACTAAGCTCGGCTTTCACAGAACTGCTTCTATGTATATGTACTCTATGACACTTTGAGACATCCAACAGAAGGAGTCAATAGTCCCTGTATGATAGCAGTTTTGATATCCACCAAGATCTAACTTCTAGTCACTGAAAAGTCTTAATTCTGCAGCTTTCATTATGGCTACTGGGGATGGGGTGGGGGAACTAAGTTTAAAAATCACTTCCTCGTCATAGTTGTTATGCTTCAATGTGAAGAGTGTCCATGACTGGATTCATTACTGCAATCTTTAGAGCTGTGAAAAGAAGCAGGGCTTCGGAGTGAGTCAGAGTCAAACTTCATGTCCACTGACCTGAGGTACGTGTCTCAAATCTTTGCACTTCAGTTTTTTGTTTTTTTGTTTTGTTTGGTGTTTTTTTTTTTAATCTGTAAAATGACAAAAATTATACTATATAGTAAGTACTTATCTAGGTTTGCCTCTCTGTTGCTGTGATAAAGCACTAGGCAAAACAACTTGGGAAGGACAGAGTTTATTTGGTTTACATGTCCTGATCACAGTCCACCCTCGTGGGAAGCCAGGGCAGAAGCTCAAGGCTGGCACTGGAGCAGAGGCCCTGGAAGAATGCTATTCCTTGCTTGCACCCCATGGCTGGCTCAGCTTATTTTTTTTATACAACTCAGGACCACTAGTCCAGGAGTGACATCACAATGGGGTGGTTCCTACCATATTAATTAATCAAGAAAACGAGCCACACGCTTGCCTACAGGCCAGTCTGGTGGAAGCATCCCCTCAACTGAGATTCTCCCTTCTGAGCCATGTCTAGGTGTGTGCCAGGGTGACTGAAACTAACCACTTAATGACTGCTAGCCACACACGGTGGTCTCTACGAACAGCACTTGCTTTCAGTTGCACTGAACTACACATGTTACAACGCTAAAAGGAGAAATGGCATTAACAACAAACATGTCACATTTAATAAGTGTTTTCTCTCACAGTGTTCTTGGGGCTCCTTATGTACTCCTAATTTTTAAAATTCTCACAACCATGGCCATCTAAGGATAATTCACATGCCCAGAGAGGCTTGCTACTCTGTCTATGTATCTATGTCTAGATAAAAAGGCCAGGTATTATGTTGTTATCTGCATTTCTAAAACAACACACAACAAATATGGGTTCATCTTAAATGATCTCCCAGTTGTTTTTAAGGGTTTGCTGGAGGCATAAAAACAGCTTAACACTTAATTTTCACAAGAGCCTTTTGAGACAGGAACTATAATACATTGGGGAATCAGAGGCACTGGGAAATGAACTTCTGAGTTCTGAAGTCACCCAGACAATTTCACAGTCAGAAACTCACAGAAAAGCAAACATACTTTTCCAATAAATATTCAAAATACAGGACAATAAGTAATACAGAGCTCACAAAGAAGGTATAGTAAGAGGTGTAACTACCTTTTATGGGCGCCTTTTCCTGAGGTCCTGGTGATGTGCAACCTCCAGGGCTTTCTTTGAGGGAAGATGAGGTCAGACTTTGTAAGAGCGAGTCCTATTAAAAAGTATTACCATATAAGGTTAGGCCTGAGGACACCCAGAGGCAAGAGAATTATTAACACTGTTGTTAGTTCTAGACAGTTGGCTCAAGGGTTAAGAATGTTTCCTGCTCTTCCATAGGACCCCAGCTCAGCTCCTAGAACCTATGTGAGCAGCTCACAACTACCTGTAACTTCAGCTCCTGGGGACCTGACACTCTCCTCTGCCCTGGACAGAACATGACAAACTCTCAGGAAGGAGAAACCAGGGACCAGTAAGATGGCTCAGGAGATAACATGCTTCACAAGCCTGACCACCCATGTGAGGCTGGAAGATTTTAAGTTTCACAAACTTGTCCTTTGTTCACCACAGGCAAGCCAAAGCATGCACAGGCGAACAGAGGCAAGGAACAAAAATTGTAAAGAGATGCAATGTAAAACAAGATGGAAATAAGAAAGAAAAGAACAAACTAACAAACAAAATAGATGGCACAGATATCTCTGCAAAGAAGACTCCAGTCCCAAATCTTTTTACTGGTGAACCTTCTAATTCAACTTTTCATAACTGTGTGATTCATAACAAACTTCTAGCAAATAAAGAGAGAAGACACAGACATAAACACAGTAACAGAAAATTCCACCTGACTAACATTCAAGCCTGATTACATCTTGAAAAAAACCTCATATAGCAATATCCTTAGTATACATACACATACACACACATATGGGAGGTTTAACAACAGAGTAACAGAGCAAATCACAAAAATGACAATGCCTTGATCAATCATGGTGTAAGCCAGGAACATGTATGGGTAACAGGAACAGCCATTCTGCACACAGGTACACACTCTGAAGAAAGGCAAGAGGAGGACGCAGAGAGGAAGCCAATGTCCCTACTCTCACCTCTTCAGTATCTGGTATAGTGAGGCAGAGGAGGTGAGTCATTACGTGAGAGCTTACAGAGATGAAGGGGATTGAAAACTGCTGTACACAGGGGACTGAGCAGTGAGAAGACAAAGGCTCCACACCCAAGAAAGAGAAGCCCTGCTCTAGCAACATGGGAAATGCCCCGAGAGTGACCTTAAAGGGTCAGAGTAGAGCAGGGAAACTTACAGCGAGCAGTAGGGGACATTTAATTGTTAAAAATAGTGTCCAGCAGGAGAATAGTTCACCATTATGGGTTATGTCAAGACAACAAGAATGGTGCCTCGAGACAGCCTCAGAGCACAGAAACACTCCATGACTTAAAGACAAGAAGTCCAACCTCAAACACCAACAGTGTGATGACAAAGCTGAGGAAAGCCTGGAGGGAAGATCAGTGCAGCTCTGAGGCAGTGGGGAGATGCTGGATATGCTCCTGTTAGACTTTTGTCATACTATGCTGCTACTTCCAAACTAAAAGGAGCACACACATATCAGTCATTAACGTTAGGGCATATGGAAATATTAATGTTAGGGCATATGGAAATACAGAGCAATACTTACGGTTAAGACTCCGTACCTATATAAACTGCCCTCTTCCCTGACTCATGTCACCCAGGGACCTTCATTTATAAGAACCGTATTTGCAAATGTAATTGTAGTTACAATTAAGGTATACTGTCCTAACTTCGACAGTATTTGTTTTAGGAAAAGAAGATGGATACAGAGGCACAGGGCCTGGTAATGAAGGCAGGGTGGTGTTATGATGCCTCTTTAGAGCAGGGAGGACCAACAGATGCTGGCACCAGAAGGTGCAAGAGGCAAGAAGAGAGGCCTCGTCTAGGGCATTAGAGAGGGTGGCCTGACACCTAGACTTCAGAACTACAAGAACAAAATTTCTCCTCTTGTCGGTCTCCTGGCTTATGGCACTTTAGTCCAGCAGTTACAGGAAACCAATCCCATATTCACTTGAGCAGATAATTGTATTAAACACATAAAATACTATTTGGATTCCTCTCTTGATTTTGTCAGAACAAATTAAGAATTAGCCAGAGGTCACTGTCAGCTCTAAAGAATACGTGACTCTGGGGTCTGACTTACGAGTGGAAATCCATGGACTGAGAGTCCTGAGGTCTATCCACACTACCTCTCTGAGCACATCTTTGCATGTGAACGCGCATGCACACACACCCCTCAGATGAGCAGAAGGAGATGGAAACTGGGGCAGGCTGCTTGCAGCTCATTTTCCTGGGTCTGCCCAAGCAGTTAATGGAGGAAAATGTACTTTTCTGAGACATGAGCTTGAAGTTAGCTTTTCACTTTAAACTACAGAGAGGTGACAGGTGATCTTCCTGGTGACACTGAAATCATAGCTCCTTGTAGAAACCTGGAGATGTATCAGGGCCCACAGAAGACAGAGAAGTACCCCGACAGTGAGTCTAGCCCAATGAAGGGAATGAACTAAAATGTCCTTAGCCAAAGTTATATAAGCAAAGATGAATACATAATCATGTGAATTATTTTCATTCAAATAGGTTATTCTATAAATACCCAGAAAGGGAATATTGTTCTAATATTTCATCTTCTCTGAAATAAGATGCATCTATCTCACTATAACTGATATTTTATACCTTTCAAGTAGCATGTAAAAGCATACTACATTTTCAGTCAAGGGAATTTTATGCTCAAGTATACTAAAGAAGTGAGATCTCTTTACCAATTGCAAAAGAAAATAATTCTTTTCACACACACACACACACACACACACACACACACACACACACACACACGACAACTCTGAAGTGAAGTACAATTCAGTAGTTCCACATTAGGCCAACCTCAAGATCAAGGTTTTCCGAGTATATTTTTTCCTCCATTTGCACCTCTGTGCCATTCTGCCTTGGAAGGGAAGGTGTGGGAGCAGAGTCTTCGCTTGTGGAATGTTCTTTATCAACTCCTGGCCTGACTCTCTCCTCAGTGTGGCTACTCGTTTTGACCATGCTCCTTGGCCGGGGAGAAGGCTTAAAGTGGCCATCTGCATCAAGACTGTTGTTGTTTTCCCCTGAAAAAGAAAATGTTTTCGGGTGAGTGTATGAAACTGACTGTGGCTTCAGCTGCCCTCTAAGAGATGTCACGGTGCTCAGAGCATCCAGTGAGCACACACTTCTCCACAAAATACAGTACAGAGAGCTGAGAGTTCATAATCAAAATCCAGGAACTGTTGCCACCCTGTAATGAGCTAATTAGTATAATTCAGTTTTATAAAAAGTCCATTTTGACTTTATGAGTTCATATAGTGTTAAAAACATTTCCAAAAATAAACCATCACGCTATCTTCCTTCTACACAATGAAAACCACTGAAGCCAGGCCCTTCATGCAACACCAGCCCTGCCTGTCAGCAGCAAGGTCTCTGTCCAAAGGCTTTGTAGGGAGAGGAAGGATAGGAAAACTGGGCAGGACAAAGGTAAGTGCTGTTACCATCATGCAGGGAATGATCTGTCCTTCAAGGGGTGGGAAGCCTCTCCCTGGAGGAAGGGATGCAGAGCTGACGAGTTAGAGAGCTCTTCCATCCAGAAAGCTTCCTTAGCAGTTATGGTGGTCCCACAGGTGCTTGGAAATCAGCAGTTGTGGTGGCACACAAGGGGCTTAGAACTCAGGAAAACTGAGTTCAGCCCCCAGCATCAGTGATACAGATACAGAAGAGAAATTTCAGAAGAAACTTTTCCAGGCATTGAATTCTGTTCTTTGTGAAATGTAAACAACCTGTTGCTGGTATACTTCTGGCTACCAAACACTGATGGGGAGACTTTTCCATTTATGGACTTTCAACCTACATTTTATTCCTCATGTGTATTTATGTCTCCCGTGTTTTAATCAATTTACTCTTCTATAACTTTAAAACTGAGCTAACCCAACACACACCTCCTCTGTGACTACAATGCCTCATGGATGTTGCTAGAAGATTCCGAAGTCATGTCAGAATGGTGCTACTATGCCCCACTGCTTAGCTCTTCATCCGCTCTGGCCAGTGTTCATCCCAACAGAGAAGAGCTGGCCTAAGTTACTTTCACCTTTCTGTATATACAAGCACCATTAGACTCGTAGGCTCCACCGATACAAACGGGTCTCCCTTATTTTACTGTCCTCCCCACTGCTGGCTCTTACCTATTTCTAAATACTGCTTCCCGGATATTGACAATAAACCCTGCCATTCCTCTCTGCAGAGTCCTTGGGGCTCCTCCTCATCTAACCCTAATGCAGCAAATGCTCAGCAGCCTGTCAACAGCCTTGAAGGTGTCCCTGTCCTGTTGCTGGACACCTACGCTGTCTGTTTCCTGGCTCTTCCACTTTGGAACTTGTGTTCTGGAGACACTGGGACCATATCTGTTTTGTAGGCCGACACAGACTCTCTACAATTACACCGTTCTCAAGGTACAAGTCCATGCCTAAGACATCTGCTCCTGGCTTCTCTTCTGACAAATGTGTGTGGCGTTCAAGCCTCAGCTCCAATTATTGTGTCAGGAAGCCAGTGAGTTATTTTTGTTTGCACTGTGTCATGAATACTCTTAAAATCCTTTCTGGAGCTCAGTACAGTACTGATTGGCATAATGTTGAACTTATCGCTAGACCATGCTCGCCTTGCAGAATGGATACCATACACTGCTGAATAGAAATGCCCAATGGTCTGCTTCCTCCAGTCCCCAGCAAGTACTGTTCTACTTTCAATTTCTCTGAGTCCTTTCAAGGCCCCATGCTTTCCTTTTTAGCTCGGACACTGGTCTCCATAAGCTTCCCAGTATAACCTAACCTTAGAAGAGTTGCATGGATCTTTTTTTTTTTTGTCAACTTGACATACACCTAGACATGTCTCGGAGGAAAGAATCTCAACTAAGGAGCTGACCCATAGGCGAAACTGTGGGCGTTTTCTGATCAATGTGCAAACAGCCAGCCCATGAGCATGGTGCCACTGCAGTAAGTGTTCCAGGATTGTGTAAGAAAACAGGATGAGCACACCAGGACTCTGCATTCCTCTGCTTCAGCTCCTGCCCCTGGGTTCCTGAGTGAGGCTCCTGCCCTGGCTGTCCTTCATTATGGACGCTAAAGTAATAAATGCTTTCTTCCTTCTGCTGCTTTGAATTGGATCAGCTCCCAAAGACTCAAGTTTGAATGTTGAGGGGGTGGCACTAAGAGGTGTGGCCTTGTTGAAGAAAATGTGTCATAGAAGGTGGGCTTTGAGGTTTTAAATGCTCAAGCCAAGCCCAATGAATCTGTCTCCCCCCACCCCTTCCTGCTGCCTGCTGATTAAGATGTAGAACTCTCAGCTCCTTTTCCAGCACCATGTCTTTCTGCATGCCTCCCTGCTTCCTGCCATGATGATAACTGACTAAACCTCTGAACCTGTAAGCCAGCCTCAATTAAATGTTTTCTTTTATGAGAGTTCCTATGATCATGGGATATATATCTTCACAAAAATTCAAACCATAATTAAGACACTCCCCAAGTTGCTTTTGGTTGTGGTGTTTATCACACCAGAAAGGAAACCCAAACAAGGGTTTTCCCTTAACTGCCTGTGGAACCAGAGTGAGAAGACACCAAATGTCCACAGGGCAGGACTTGACAAACACTCAATGCTCAGTGAGCACTGACAGTGCTGGTAATGATTTCCTCCATTGTATTCACTGACTTGTCAATTACGATTGCAATTCTTTATGGGCAAGTTTCTCTTTGCCAACATCTGTATAATTTTTGCAGGTTAATAAATATTTCATGGTCTAACTTTCCCACCTTCATTCCTCTACCACTTTATCACAGACCTCAGCCCACACACAACCCACTTTATTCCTCTTCTTCCTCCTCTTCCTCCTCTTCTTCCTTTTCTTCCTCTTCCTCTTCTTCCTTCTCCCCCTCTTCTTCCTCTTCTTCTTCCTCCTCATCCAGAAACCTTTCTTTATGTTTTAGGTAACTCAGACATCCACTTTCTGCCATTCCTGCTATAACTTTTATACAGTTTCTTACTAAACTCTAAAGTCCCGGTCAACCGGTAAGCTGTTTTAATGTTATATTCTTGCTCATCAATCAGTTTGTAGCACGAGGAAGCACAATGAGTTCTGAATACACACAGAGAGACAAATTGGTAACTTGCTTATGAAAAGGTGCTAAATATTAATATTCCATTTATTCCAGTACTGTTCTGAGCACTTCAAATGCAGAAAACCATTTAATTGTTGATTTAACTCCTGAGTACTGAATCACTTAAGAGGTGTCGAAACTAACATCTCCATTTTACAGATGAATTAAATGAGGTCAAGGTTAAATTACACCCAAGGTTAAAAATTCCACTAAACTGTAGACCTGAGATGAATGCAGAAACACGCTAACTGTAGCACCTTGTGAGACCCTTGCAACAATGACACAGTGACAATCCCTGTGACAGCTGCTCCACCAGGCTAGAGTCTGGTTACCAACGTCTGTACAAAGGCAAGCAGAAGCAGAGAAAACCATCAGTGGAATACTGTGGGGCAGGGTAGAACCAGGGCTTCATGCAGGCTCGGCCATGCTCTACCACCAACCTATGCTGCACATTACAAATATCAAGTTCCAAACACGCCATGAAAGAAGACGTCAAGAATTAGAGAGTACAGCTAAGGCCAGGAAATGCATTCCTCTTTTCATGAATGAATCAGCTGTGTATTCATCCATTCATTTAGATCCTTCAGGAATTCCCTGTGCCAGGCAAGTTTCAGGGCCTCAATTTTCACTCTTTGCCCTGAAAACACCTGATGACTTTAGTATATTTTATGCCCCAATTCAATTTCCAGAAATGCTTTCAGGTTCTCAGGAAAAAAACAAGTTCTTTTCGTTTGAAATGCTTTATATCAACCCTAAGGAGATTCTCTACTTGGTAATTTTCAGTTTAACACTGAACTCAGCCACACCTATGGGTGCTCACAGATGCTGCTGCCACCTTGTGGTTAGAAAGGAGTATTGCCTTACTCATTTTAATTCACCTTTACTGCAGCTTTCCCACCCACTTCTTCCAGTAGTTTAGCCAAGGTCTTGTTTTTTAGTCCACGTGTATGTAGAGCAGGCTAGCCTCAAACTCACAGCAATCCTCCTGCCTAATGATCTAGGGTGCTGGGACTTCAAGTCTGCACTAACACACCAGGCTCTAGCATAGCTTTAAAAATGTATTAACTAGGTGGAGTATTGCTTGACACCTACAGTAAACTGATAATTATACACATCCAGACTAAAGTTTGCTGCTATATTAGAATTTCTTATCTGTCTTCCTTTTTAACTTATTTCTCTAGTCAGTTCTGGGATCAAATTTAGGACCTGTTACATATGACGGGCAAGCACTCCATCATGGTACAAAATCCCTGGTCCTCATAGATTCTTAATAACAAAGCCCAACTACGCTCCTTCCTACCTATGATTACCCCACTCCATTTGGAAAGCTCAGGTTAGAAGTTGGTCCAGCCTCCTTATGCTGTCTGCTTATATTTGATGACTTTTTCTGGTTACTTCAAAGATGTACTGCAGGACAAGAAAAGCAGGTTTGCCCTCCCACTCATGAAGTCGAATGACTAAAATGATTCTGCCTGAGTCACACATAGCTAACACTAGGCAACGCATTTGTATTCGTGTCTTGGACACTTTTCTAGGGGGTCTCTGCTCTATTTTTATCCTCGTAAGGTTCCCAGGATGCCCAGGGAGGGCAGGGTCATCCCTTAATATACGCCTGAAATAAAGTTCTATCTGATGTTACTGGTATCATCTACCATGTTAAGTATGAGCCATCTGACAACACCACACTTGAGAGCATGATGGGAGGGGTGGTGGCGGGGATTTTATGCATCTCAGAATCAACTAGTTTTTCCTTTATAAAACAGAAAGAAAGATGAACAGGAGACAAGGAAACCTTGCCTTGCCATGTCCTCCCAAGGGCTCCCAGAGGACCACATCTTAGCTGTCCTCACTCCATCCTTTCTTCTGAAGGTCTAGAGTTAAGCAGACTAGTAGAGAATTCTCCATTACCTCTCAATCACACTTGGAAGCTGCCTTCAGGAAGCTGGGTTTTGGCTGGCAGTATATACAATGCAATAAACCAAAGAAAGACTGTGGTCTCTTAAGGGAGAGTCAAGAAGCTTCATCAAACAACCAAAGCAAAATGTCAGTATACAAATGCTTCTGTGCTTCACGGTCCTGACCTTGAACCCACTACTTTGTGCACGCTAGCCACCCATCCACCACCTCACTACGCACTCAGTCTTTTACAGATAGATGACTGCTTCAATCTTGGGAGCACATGTGGATTAGAATAGCTTCATGGCAGCTCCAGCGCCACAAACAGTATAGATGCTGATGAGCCAGGGGTGTGGAAGGCAAGCTGTTGGCGATCACAGCTGCCCTAACTTTCTCTTGGGCCCCAGTGCAGACTCCAGAGTGAATATACAATGAGCCTTTGTAGCTATGGTTCTTAAGTTATGGCTGGGAAACTGGAAAGTTAAATATATTAGCCACCATTAAAAAAAGAAGAAGAATTTTGTGACAAGTTATCCTGAAATGAATACTCTGGAAACATAATGGTAATAATTTCCCAAGTTACCTGAGGATGTGCTTCTTCTGACAGGGAGCACCCTGGGTGCAGGCTTCATTGTCATGATCTCTCGGCCAACTTCATGATCATCATTTTGAGATTTGGGGAAGGAATTTCCAGGCATATCTTCTTGAGCATCTGGTGATGTGCCTTCACTGTCCAGAATGACAGAGTCCAGATCATCTTTGGATATTTCCCTGTTTACTTTCTTGGTTTTCAAAAAAGGCAGTCTTGGAGAGTTCTTGTCCTCATCGTCAGATATATGAAAATCATTCATTTTTTTTCTAACTATACTTTCATCTGTTGAGGTATCTGAAAATTCACCTAAAGAAACTGAAATAGGAACAAGAAAATCTGTTTTCAGCAGTGTATTTTAAACATTCAAAAGTTATATTCTATTTCTTGGAAAAGCAAAACTACTTTCATAAACAGAAATGTCTAGAATAAATCAATAACCTCAAATAAGTCCATATTTATTTTGTAGCTATTCAAAACAGGGTCTTTATTTGGTTGGCAATTACCAAATAAAGTCTGAGTTTCATTAACTTATTCAAAATACTTATCAAACACCTACAGCACCGTGTTTAGTGGGGGAGGGTATGCCCATCAAAGGTTGTTCAATGTAGCACCCATCCCAAAACACAAGGATGACACTGTCTAATAAAGAATAAAGAATATCCTGATGAAGAATACCGATTTAGCAAAACAAACATGATTGATTGAATGGATATTCAGAATACTTTTACAGAGAACATTTATCCAGTGAATATTACAAAATAACATACTTAATTTTAAATTCAAAATTCTTCATGATTATGCTTAAAATCTAAAGTGTAATGTCTTGCTCACTTAAAAAGAAACCAAGTTAATATATGGAGTGAAGGGTCTATTTTTCAAAATGACCCGCACTGGCAGTCTGAGCGAACTGTTCCTCAAAGGCTCAGTTACTGTAACACTGGGGCCCCAGTCAGTGGCACTGTTTAGAGGAGAGCTCCTCCACTGTCTTGAGGGGGAAGTGCATCGCTAAGGACAGGCTTTGGAAGTGCATAGCCCTGGCCCACTTCCAGTTTATTCTCTGCTTCCTGACTGCTGTTGATGTTATCTTCCAGCTTCTAGCTCTTGCATTCCAGGCCTTCAACTTTCTGCCATGTTGTCCCCACCATGATGGACTGGCATCTCTCTCTAACCATAAGCTTAAATAGACTTTCTTCTTTAGGTCATTTTGGCCATAGTGTTTTATCACAGCAACAGAAAAGTAACTAATGCTGAAGTCGGTACCAGAGAGTGGGCTGTTGATGTTGGAAACCTGATCACGCTGTTCTTTGGAGGAATGTGGCATACCTTGGAACTTTGGATGAGAATAGAGTTAAACTCTGTAAAGAGACCCTTAAAGATTGATGTTCTGAGAGCAATCAGAACTGTAAAGGTCCACGGCAGGAAGTTTCAGCAGGAAGTAAGGACTTTAACAACATCTAGAATAGAGGCCATTCTCGTGATATCTTGGGGAAGGATCTGGCCCTTGTCGTAAGCGCTTGCCTGAGGATAAATGTGCTGGTTAGTGTTTGTTAACTTGACCCAGACTGGAGTACGTGTGAAAAGGAAAACACAGTGAAGAACTGTGTCCAACAGATTTTCTGTGGGCATATCTGTAAGGCGTTTTCCTGATTGATGATTGACATGGGAGGGTCCAGCCTACTGTCAGTGGTGTCATCCCTAGGAAGCAGTCCTGGCAGTACAAGAAAACAAGATGAACAAGCTAAGGAGGAGGAAGACACTTAGCAGTGTTCCTTCACCGTGTTTGCCTCAGTTCCTATCTCTATGTTCCTAATTGAATTCCTGCCCTGACATATGTCAGTGATGGATTATGGGAAAATATAACCCACATATACCCACACTGCCACAAGCTGGTGCTGGTTAGTTTTAGCACAGCCAGAGAAAGAAAATAATACACTAAATTCAAAAGTAATGGATAATTTCTTTGGTAGAGGACAGCAAGCTTCCTGTTGAATCTGTGGCACGGTTATTACTGGTTTGGCTTATGTAGGTCTACAAGAAAAACGAAGGAGTGGGGCAGAAAGAAAAACAGCCTGGACAGACAAAGATCACTAGGAAGCTTAATGTTTTAGCTCAGCTTGTGCCAAAAGAAAGCAGAGGCCCTAGCTCTGCACTGGAGCAAAGGGGAGGATGCCCTCAGGGTAAGCCCCCTCCCAGCTAAGGAGCTAAGTTTCCAATTGTGAAAGAGCACAAGGAATTTTCTGCTTCTAGAGAGCAACTTGATAAAAAGGTGTGATTCATGGGAGTGAGAGCCTGTCCCAAGCTGGCAGCCAAACTAGGCAGCGTCATCCACCTGGTACTGACTTTGGAGGCACAAATTAAGGAATAGTGAGGGGATTATAGATTCTCCTCCTATGGGTACTAGAGAGGCCCCTAGGCCAGGCAAGTTCAGGCATGGCAGTCTATGCATGTTGGCCCTGAGAGGGAGAAAGGCCATTGTGTGAAAGTGAAGCTCGGGCTGTGGTAGGGACCTCAAGATGTTAGAGATGCAGAATCATGAAATGTCCATCAGAGTGTTACATATGGATTAGAACCAGCCCAAAAGGCAGATGTATGAGCAGACAGAAAAGTTTGAGGAGCAGAGCCAACTACAGTCCCAGACACTAGACACAGAGCCATTGGGACTTCGAGTTTGCCTCGCTATGTCTTGCTTTAGTCCAGTATTTCCTGACTATGTCCCCATTCTTTCTTTTTGGAATGGTAATGTCTGTCTGTCTGTCTGTCTGTCTGTCTGTCTGTACATATATCCTATCGAATCACATGTTAGAAGCATGTACTTTGCATTTTGATTTTTCAGGAGGTTTCAATTAGTTGGTTGCCCTGAGTCTCAAGAGAGACTTTGGAAGGATTTTAAACAGTGCAGAAAATGTTAAAGACTATGGGGAATTTTAAAATTAGACTAAATGTATTTTGCGTTGACCATATGTCTATGGGTTACAGAAAGTGGGATGTGGTTGTTTGGATGAGAATGTTTCCCATAGGCTCAGAAACTTGACTACCTGGTCCTCAGTAGATGGCACTGTTTGGTGAGGAGGTACTGGTTTGTGAATGAAATATGTCTCTGGGGTCGGGCTTTGAGCGTTCATAGCCTTGATACAATTCCAGGTCTCTTTCTGCTCTTTGTGTCTGCTGTTGAAGGCACCTCTTAACTTCTTGCTCCTGCCATCGAACCTACAAATTTTGCCATGTCCAGTCTCCATGATGGACTCACATCGCGTTGAACTGTCAACTGAGATAAACTCTATGTCTGTCAGTCACTTTTGCTCATGATGTTTTACACCAGCAACAAAAAGGTACGACACCCACTCTTACAGCCCCAGATCTGCATTACAAATGCATTACATAAGCACCACTGTCTAACTCTGTGACCTCCGTCGAGATACAGATGTAGAATTCTTCAAGTTGAACTTGAAGATGAAACTACTTCCTGAGATAGCTTGGTCCTAAGGCAACATTTTACTGTAGACCTAGTAATAGTTTTAAATTCCCATTCAGAAATAAGCAGAGGTCATTTGTAAGCTTCTTGAAAACTTAAGAGTGGCTTCCTAATTCACTGCATCCATAGAATTCTGAAACTAGGGAATTCATAGGCAGTGGTTTATAAGAGAGGTTAGGGGATGAGTGAAATGTAACTAAGGAAGCAAAGCATAGGACACTGGCTGTCTATTCTCTTACATACCAATCTCGTCGCTGTCAAAGTCATCTGAATACTCGGAACTTCTCTGCCTGGCTGACCGGGCTGTAATTGCTCTGATCAGCTCATCCTGCAACAAGATCAGTGACGTCAGTTCCCATTCAAGCAGGGACGCCCCATACTTAGAAGAAATCTTTAAACAAATAACACTCGATTATTCTGCACTCACATTTAAGTCTCATTCACCTGACTTTACTCCAAGCCTATGCTGTACAGTGTACTCAAGTCATCAGACACAACACAGAATTGAGCCATCTCCTCTGGATTCGTAGCTAAACAGGAAGGGACTACTAGTATTAGATAAATCAGACTCGGGCTACAATCTGCACTAAATGCTAATGAATGAAAGGGCCATGAATTTAGATCGGATTTATTAGAAACTGACTTTCTGTGAGAGACACACACATTTTGAGGGAGGAAAGCGCTTGGGTTTGCCAAGCATGACAGGCACACAGCCACCACTGAGGCACACCCTCAGCCTCAAACTGGTCCTTTAAGTATATTGCAAAGATGGGCATAATCAATGTGGCAAACGCAGAACAAGACTTGGATGCAGCGTTGGCACAGTAAGACCTTGTGACGATTACAACAGAAAACAGGAATCTAGAGAGAGACAGGCTCTGAAGTCCTGGCTCTCTGGCTTTCAACTTAGAAGCCAATATTGAAGACAGGGTTCCAGAGAGGGGTATTTTAATACTGGAGCCCAAAGTTGACAAATGACCTAGAACACACTGAGAGCAAAGCAAGAATTCCTCCCGCTTCATGCAGGATCCTGCAAGAACCAGCAAGTGCTGAGTAGCAGCAAAATCAAAACAAAATGCTCTGCCATATTTTACCTGAAAAGACGTTCTCTTGGTAGCTTTTGGGCTCTTGGTATATGCCAACGTTGTGCTGAAGATTTCATCCGACATGGTGTATCCTTTTTCTCTACTTTTATACAACGGTTAATAAATAATTGAAATAATTCATTCAATCTCTGATGGTGGCTGAAATATACATATTTAAAAGAATTAGACGTTTTTACATGATTGGAGTACTCTATTCCTGGGATTAGTGCCTCCCACCCCCTCCAAATAAAGAGAAATTGCTCTAAACGCTGCCCAATATGTTCACCTAAAAATGTAACAGCATTTTTTGTTAAGGACATAAAATGCTCACAACAAATTTGTTTTCAGGAAAAGAAAATACATAAAGAAGTTACTGCTCTACAACTATTTTAAGGATGAATGAACTACATAATCACCAAATACTGCCAAACAATTTCATCTTTCCATTATTAAAAACATATAGCATTACAGATGCCACTATGACTTATTTCAAGACACAACCAAGAGGACAGTCAAGGTTCCTAGCCCCGGAAATGGCTTGCATATAACAGTATTCAAAACAATACTCAGCCACAAGCTGCAGCGACATTTTCCCAAGCCATTTGTTTGCTCTTACACACACAGCGACATCTCCACACTAAGCTGCATCACATCAGGCTGCATTAAAGTCTCTGTTTCTAGCGCGCGACGTCGGAAGCCCATTTGGATCGCCGGCCACCGCCCAGAGCGCCCCGGGCTGGCCAGGTGGCGTCCGTGTCCCCAGCTCCGCGAGGCTCCCGGCCCAGCACGCTCCAGGCCCGCGCACGCCCAGCGCGGTCCCCTCGGCTTCTCCACGTACAACGGCCCGCGCCTCCTGCATCCACCCCGCTCCCCGTGCACCCGGGACCCTGTGACCACCTGAGAACCCAGCGGCCATGCTCTAACACAGGTGTCGCCCCCGGCCTGGGCCTCGCGGTCTGGGAAATCAGGTATTGGAATAAGCTGGAGGCGGGGCAAAAGATGGAGGCGGAAGACGGTTGCTAGGCAACAGCGTCCCCGGGAGGAAGTGACTTCCAACCGCCTGGTCTCTTGGGTACCCAACACGGTCTTTCCGCCTGCGTCGCTGGGACAACCGCACAGACCAAGGAAGTGACATCACTGGTAGAGGTGTTGGGAGCGCGGTGCCCTATCAGCTTGTGTGCAATGGCTGTTACCTAGGAAACAAGACCTGCCCTCTGCCATCACGCCACATGGAACCTTGACCGCTCCTGTTTAGAGTCCTTGTTTATAGGCAGGTATTGCGTGACCACGCTGCAAAGCTTCCTTTCGCTAGTTAGTACGTGGAATGCGTGAGTCAGTGCAGTGTCAGCGGACCGAACAGAATAACGTAGTAGTGACGTTTGCAATCTTCGGACTCAAACTGCAAGTTTGATTCTTGGCATACACAAATTAAGGTCTCTATGCTTTGATAAGAAATTAATAATTATAAGACTACCTCCTTAAAGGATTGCGGTGAATACTGAATGCAGTATATAGCGAAATATTCGAAGTGTTCAGAATTACATTCAGTTAATATTATATATGAGCGTTTCTTGAAACTAATGTAGTTCCGGGCAGCTGCGAGCGGGAGAGGTGTGTGTGTGCTAACATATCCCATGTGTACTCAGCCTGGAGCCTGATTCACATCTTTCATGGAAAGTTTCCCCTTTCTATGTTTCGCGAATAATCTGGTTAAAAATCAGTCAGCAAATAAAATAGGCGAGAAGGCTGGACAAAGTACTTCTGGAAGAATCGATATCGTCATTTAATTATCATTAATATACACAAAACACTTAAACTTTTAAAGTTACACAGATTTCAGCTATTTTTAACTTGAAAAAAGAATGTCAAAATCAACTCATTAGCTAGTAACTGAAGTTGTTTTTATATCTCCACAATAGTTCTTTAAAAAAAAATTAACACTGAAAAAAGTGATTTAATAAATCAGCATGTTGAAATTTTAAATACAGAAAAATAAATATAAACTTTAGTGAGAAAAAGTTTTGTAAGTAATACTTGCAATAACATTAAATAACTCAGTTTATGCTTTTCAACTTGTTTGGTAAATTTGTTTTGCTTAATTATGATGTTTTTAACTATTTTGAAATTAATATGCGTAAGAAAAAATTTTCCATTTTCACTAGTTACTGTTAAATTTTCTGTCCTACATTTTATTAACATATATGATTCTGTTAAAGCCTCGGTACCCACAGCAGGTACCCATATGGGAAGATCTAATTTTTAGATAATGTGGAAGGGCTGTATTCATTTGATACCCATTTAAATGGTACAAGTTTAATTTAGACGTGACTTACAGAAATAAGCTTACAACAACATCAGTGATGGAGAACACTGAGTTCCTAGCTACCAGTAGGGCATGGTTGCATACAATGGGTATGGGTCTGAATGATTGCTCCCCACAAGCACAAACTGAGAGGCTCTAAAGAGAATTCTTCCTAGCAGCATTTCAGTTGTTTCAGATGTGAGTCTGAGTTGAGCACCTAAGTATAGGAGAGAAGGCTGGACCCGAAGTCTAGTATACAGATCTACCTAACCATGGTGACTAAGTACAGGGGCTGCTTTAGCTAGTGCTCAAGATAATACACCGTGGTGTTTATTCAGCTTTTACTCCCTGATGGGCTTGAGGTATGTGTGCGCTCTCTCTCTCTCTCTCTCTCTCTCTCTCTCTCTCTCTCTCTCTCTCTCTCTCTCTCTCT